GGTGCTAATATAGCTTTTGCTTATGCATTTTATGTTAAAATCTGGGGCATTAGATGTATTCCCGTTTTGTGAAAACCATTCACTTAGCAGTTCGCATATGACGGTTTGGTCATAGTACGTCACGCCATCGTGCAGTAAAGAGTGAATGTTGTGATCTTTGTTCTTCATCATCCGTTTTTCAAGGAGCCGACATACGTTTTGGACTTTAGATGCAGCTGTGAGCGCAGTACGTTCTTCTGTCTGTTTGTTTTTGTTGTGATGACTTTGCACTCCTTCAAGTACTGAGTATACCTGGTGCAGGGCACTAAAGTCTTTTGATGTAAAGTACGTCTTTCTTAGTTTTCGTAGCTTAGACTTAGCCTTTTGGTTGATGTAGGGAGCAATTGTTTTGAAAGCAATTTTAGAAGGGATGGTAGTGTCTAGTGCAGATTTGGTGGTAGTATTGAATATTTCCAGTGTTTCTAAAAGGTTATCACTGGTGAAGAAAGTGTTCCAGTCAGAATGCTTCATAAGAAACCGAAAGTTACTCCAGTCGGCGTTTGTATAGTCTCTATATTGGAAACACGTATTTAATGTCTTTAATTTTTTGCGCTTGGCAAGAATCGGAAGGGTGCAGAAGACTATTTTATGATCGCTATTATGGAACTTCTCGCCAACCACCATTGATGCTGGTGTGACATTGTGACAGAATATTAAATCAAGAATGTTGTGGTTTCGGGTAGGCAAGTTAACATGTTGCTGCCAACCGTGTATGTCTAAGGACCTTAGTATTCCTTCGTAGCACGGTGGGCCAGAATGTGTCTTCCAGTTGATGGTTGGAAGGTTGAAATCACCACAGACAATTTTGTAGGCGAAGTCAAGCGAGGCAGCCTTAGCAAATGACTCACTTATAATGGTGTCAGTCAGACTGGGGGTATTCGGAGCTCGATATATACATCCGATTAGTATTTTACATTCAAGGGTGTGTACAGTAAGCCACATCGAATCTGGTACTTTACTGAGGATATGATCACTAAAGATTTCCGTCCTCATGTTTTTTGATGCATATATGAGACAACCGCCACCCTTCTTGGTGACTCGGTCACAGCGGAAGAGCTCATACGTGTCTATTTGGAGGTACGTGTCTGTGATATCGGAGGACAACCAACTTTCCGTTATCAAAACAAGTGAGGGGTTGTGTAAAAGTAATAGGGCGCGTAGTTGAGTCATCTTATTCTGAATAGATCGGGCATTAATTAACATTAGTGTCAGGAAGGATGAGTGTTTGTCTAATAAAATGGTGTGCTGTAAACCCTGTGGTTTGTCGCTTTTACTATGAGAAGAGGAAAAAGTGGGAGTATTGGCTCTACGTTCTTGTTTGTTTAGTTTAATACCAGCATAGTTAACGGGAGAAAGGTGGTCGTAGGTTATTTTGGCGAAAGAAGTATGTTCACGAGTGTTGGGTAGAATCGGGTGAGTTAAATGGATAGGCGGTGTATTCGGGGGGTGATCATGTTCCGTCAAGGAGCTTTTAAGACTAGAGACAGTTATCGACGGTGATAAAGATGTGTCACTCCCCATCAGGTCGGAGTATATAGAAGGTGGTCTCAGAATAGTGGAATTGTCGCCCTCAACATTTGGAGACCCCATAGCAATACTGTTGAGGGGGAGAGAGATAAAAAAGGATGAGGTGGTGTGTGTGCCAAATTAGGGGAGATCAGAGAGTTATAAAAGGTGGTTTGGTTCTGGTAGTATTTAGAATCGATAGGTGGGTCCCCAAGCAGGCCAACATTATGGTTGTCTTGTGTGCAGTGGGGTGTTCTACTCCTGTTACGGGTAGTTAGGGGAGTTGTATGTTTCAAATAATTATTGCATGATTGTCTGACATTGTTGCCGGGGATGGTGTTCCTGTTGTGTGGGCTGTGCTGATTCCTGTAACCTGCATGTTTTAAGCTATATGGCTTATTGGCATCATGCGTAAGTGTGGTTTTTGTCGGGCTTAACCTTACGTTAGGATATGGGGGTACTGCCAGTTCATTATGCTTGTTGTAATGCATTCGACTACTATGAGTAGGTGCGTGTTGTGTATTGAGAGATCTGGAGTACTTATGGGTGTTTAGAGAGAATTTGGTATTATTTCGCATTACAGTGTTTGGGTGGTTATAGCTATTAGAGCGATTGATGTGAGGCTTGGGTTTTGGCTTTTCATCAGAGCCACAAGAAGAGTGCTTTGAAACTGTAGATGCATAGGTGGGTGGGCATTTTGTTGTAGTTGAGTGTTTGGGTTTAAGGTGAATGGTTACAGCTGCCTGGTGTCTAGTCTTGTTCTTAGGACTAGTAGCAGTATGCGGCGTGCCTCCGTTTTTGGGAGGGGTGGGGTATGGTGTTTTAGGGATAGCGCTATGGCCAACGTTGTAACTGCCGCTACCACTAAGGCTGGATTGATTGTTTTGCACTTCATTGGAGTTTCGACGTTGGATGGCAGTCTTGTCATGGGTGATTCTAACTTTCTTAAAGGTTGGAATGCGCCTCAGTAAAGACTGGCTTTTAAGGAGGTGATTGGCTTCTATGATACTACCAAACTGAAATAGAATGGGACAAGAGGCTTTAGTCTGTGTTTTACGTAATCTTCTCGCTACACACCAAGATTGCGACAGTCCACATTCTTGTAGTAGAGTATTTTTAGCAAGCTTTAGATTCGTACTATCAGGTACATTATACGCAATGACATTGTGCATACACTGAAGTCTTTTCAGCACTTCAGCTGATATGTGGTCAATTATTTTTTCAGTGTTTTTTATAATTTCGAGATCAGGATTTTCCGGAACACTGATTAGGTATTTATACGGTAATAGGTCTTGAATAGTTTGGGTGAGGCTAGATTTTATTTGACTGCTTTTAGAACTATCACTGGTGAGATTATTAGAGTTTATATCAACATTATCATGGTTCATTTGGTTGCATAAACATTTGTTGCAACTGTCTACCGGGTGGTCATCTTGTGCGTACTTAGTTGGGGGATAAGGTATATGTTTGGGTGAGTAGTCGAGATCTACATTATTAGGCTGGCTACTGTAAGTGGGCTTACGTGCACTCTGTTGGCCATTACACAGGATGACCGATTGTGGATTTATTGTGTGTATGGGGTCAACCGCACTGTCTAAATACCGCTCACAACGTGTAATGTGTGGGCTGTCAAATGATGTCGGGGTAGGCTGTAGGTGATTACTCTTATTTATATCTACAAGCGAGATGCAAGGTAGTGACAGGTCATGTCCAAGTACATGGTGCACGTCTAGTGTAGCTGTAGGAAGATCAGAGTATGATGCAGACTGATCAGTGTGTTTAGAAAGCTTCACATTATTCGCGTGAGTGGTGGATTTAGATCTTTTGCACGTGCTATGAGCATCAGGAGAGATTATGTGCTTTTTAGATGACCTGGACATTATTAGAAGTAATGTAAATATAAATTTTGTATTGGGTGAGCAGCGACTGCTGTATCTTTACTTACTAGATGTGTAAAGTTTTATGGTAGAGTCAGATCAATATTTGCTAATAGCTAATATATTAACGATAGTAAAAGAGGAAAGGTGGACAGCGTGTGAAATAGTGAGCTTAATGTACTACGTTGAATCACAGGATGGGGTGTCAAATTAATAGAGCCCTATCAGAAATGAAGTATTTTTTCACTAATAAATGTTGTTAAATTAGAAGGAAACACTAATAATAATAAAAAGTATAACCACGTGAAAAAAAGTTACAACCTTCAAAAGAAGCGCCAATAGCGCTTCACGGTATCTCTTGACCATGCGTACAAATGACTCAACACTACGGCTAAATGGACTAAATGTCTAAACGACAGAGTTAAAAAGCTAACGTTTGCTAATTTCAAGTAGAATATTGCTTGAACTTATTTTCCATAATCGCTTACACATGTATCGGTATTCTTTCGATAAGACTAAAAGCAGCAATCCCGAGGTCCGAAGGCGAAGTCGTACTGCCGACTGTACAGAGGTGTGACAGCAGTAAGGTGTTTCCTTCAGACAACCAGCATAACAGCGATGCTGCCTTCCACAAGGAGGGGTGAGATTAGAAGAGGTCGACTCTAAAAATGCACACCTCGCCTTATCCCACGAATTTCCGTCTCCGGCGGTAAGGTCATTTGAAGAACGTAGCTAATACGTCAAAAATCCCCCACAAAAGGGCCGTGCGTGACAGGCCTCAAGCAGTTGTCCCTTGGGCACTGCGGTCGCGCTCCCAGGTCGTTAAGATCAACACTAATCAAACTTCATTTTCAGGTCCCACAAGAAATACCCTTCCACGGTGTGGGCAGCCGGGAAGTGATATCAGCCCTTATGCCCGTAACTGCACACGAGACCAAGTTGGCATAATCAAATTTTTCCTGCACCTGCTAGTAACTCTCTTATCTTCACGACTAACCCTTCTCACGTCCTTTTATCACCTCGCACCGCTAGGGTAAACGATTCGAGTACACAGAACGTTATTCCTGGTCTCCTGAAACCACGCTCTAAACTACATGTAGAAACTTTTAACATCCGAACATTGTGCCAAATGGGACAACAGGCCTCCATAGCTAGGAAAGACACTTGTGTGGATCTTATGGTGTCGTGGCTAAAAGAACAGATAGTTGCGACCGTCTATTGCAGTTATGCTCAGATAACCGCCTATTTCTTGCAAATACTAACTTTAAGCACAAGGAAAAACCTTTTTTGACATGGCGACCTCCGAATCCGTCCCAACGTTGGACCCAATTAGATCACAACGCTATCAGCCACCGATGGAGGAGCTCAATAGAAGACTGTCACTCATTCTCGAGCACATGTTTAGATTCAGATCATGCTCTAGTGCGAGCACGTATCTGTCTGCGTGTTACTGGACGTAGGAAAAACACTGCAAGTAAACCTCTTAGGGTTCTACTTAATAATAATAATAATATATTTCTGCATTAGCAGGTACACGCCATTTTTACAGGCATGATCTACAATTTACAACATATACTGGTTCACAGTATGCATCCCAAGCAAGCTTGTTTAGTAATTATAATCTATAAAAGTTGATAGCAGTTCATTCGTTCAGATATAATGTGTTTTCATAAGAATAGTTTCCAAAGGGGCATAGCGTCCACGTTATATACCAGATCCAATCTCGACAAAAAGTGTAATAGGGTTTCAGTAGTTCTAAGTATTTACGTAATGCAGCTTTTTAAGTTTATAGTTGTTATAAAGTAGGCTTGTGGAGCGCCTGGTTCGAGCTATGACCTTGGGAAAGCGCGTTCGTCAAGCTTTTTCCAGATGTCAGAAGTCACATAGCTTCACTCTCAGAGCAAGATTCTGAAGAGAAAAAAAAGAAACCGAGCAGCAAGGCATTTGGATATGAGCGATAATCAATGCTCAACATTTATTAGTGGAACAGATAGAGGTATGATAAATTATTAGATTAAATTGATGCTAGCTCATTTTGCAAGAGTAAACTGCGATTAGGGGCTCCAGAAGGGAGAAGGCAGTAATAAAGAACAATGAGTTGTGATATTTATCAAGGTGGAGTAGGTTCCAATGAAGGAGGGAAGTCAAGGTTGGAATGAGGAAGAACTGAGAGTGCATATAGAGAGTAGTGTTAAGTAAAATAGAAACCATATCCTTTACAGTCAGTTTTTTTTCTTTTCTCATCCGATGCCTGCCACACAGTGTTCATGTAAAAGTCCGAGTTAGCATGTTAAAGGTTGTCTTAGTAGAATAGTTAATCCAGCACAAAAATTGGAAACATGAGTCTTAATGGTGAGTGTAGGTGAACAATCTCAATATCACAGATCTATTGACTTGTTTTCATCCATAAAGAGCCTGATACAAACAAAATGTTCTGCCCCACAAACACGGGTGGATTGAAATCATCGCCCACACCATCAGTGCTTGCTGGTCAGTAACTCCACCCTCCCTCCTTTTGTGATGTTAGGCTCATTTACGATTATTTTTTGGATACATATCATACCTCATACAATGCTCTGTGTTTCACATCCTGTTGGAAAACACTATTTCTATAAGTACCATGTTACAAGCTTATCAGACAGTTACAAATTATGGACTGTGGGTAAGGCTTCGATGCTATGTTTTTATTGACTATATAGTGAAGTGTAGGTTACGAATCAGAGTATAGGCATTAGGAAGGTGTGATGTTTAAATAAATCAATGACTTCTTGGTATTGATGACTGTTGTAATTTTGAATTCCAAGTACAATACATTCGTTCGAGTTCATCTGATACTTCTTGATTAAATTGCGTTATTCCTTGGATTACTAGTTCATACTACAATTCAAATACTTCTAATTATCATATGGGCGTCGCGACTGAGCCTGTGATGGAACGGTTAAATATAAATTCAGATTTTAATGCTTTTGAGGAGTACATGGAAAGGTTCGAAATCTGGGCTATGACCAAGGAAGATGATGAGGATTTTAATATTGTGGCCCATTTCCTTACATTCATCGGGAAAGAAGCATACAGCCTTATAAAGATTTTGGCACTTCCAGACAAACCGATTTCACTCCCCTATGCAACTCTCAAGCAACTTCTGTTGGATCATGTAAAGTATACAAATTCCGAATGCGGTAAGAAAGGAAAATCCGATAAAATGACTCGTCAGAACATCAGGAATTCCACTTATTCAAACAGTCGTCGTAGTTCGATGCGTAATCAAATTTATTCAGATAATACTTCATTGAGTTGTGAAACAGTCCATGATGATGAGCACAAGTTTAGTAAATGCATGTTCTGCGGCAAGTTTCACCCATGTAATTCATGTATGTTTCGTAATTCTAAATGCTTTAAATGTGGTATAACTGGACATATTCAGTCAGTTTGTAATACCATGGTTCATTTCGCTGAAAGTAATGCTAAGATGGATGCTTCTAATGATCAGTTATCTTTATCTAGAAGAGGTGTAACGTTATATAACAGTCCAGAGTTGAATGAAACCCAGAGTCATTGGGAGGCGAAAATTCTCAACCAATCAACTTATCAGATTTCTCATGTTATTGTGCCAGATATGGTTTGTCGTAATAATTCACATACTTCTGATGTAATTTCTTACAACTCTGAGAATAGAATGTTAAATGAGTCAAATCATGATCAAAAACCAAATTCAGTCATGGTAGATGTTGAATTCCCTGATGATCCATTACCTAATGAAACTCTTAATCAATTTGAGGAAAATATTTCAGAAGAATCGAATTCTGATATCATATCAAGTGTCAGTGGTCCTCATAATGAATTTATCTCTAATGATATTCCTAATGAATGTGAAAAATATGTTTCTTATGAGTTGAATTCTAGTCATATTTCTGATGTTATTGTGTCATATGTTGGATACTCTCACGAACAATGTATGTTGAATGGAATCCCTAGTCAGGGGTATGGTGAATCAGAGCGGATAGCAAAATTTACCGAAATAATCAGAGAACCAACTTGCCCAGAAGTGAAGCTTGCACAGACAGAGAATCCAAATCAAATCCAAGATTATCCTAATGAATATGAGGCAGATGAATGTTTTCTATTCGATTGTTTCGCAGGTAAATCAAGCCTAGTTGAATCACATGTATTAATTACATATATCAATGCATATCCATCTGTATATTCTAATATGAATAACAAGAAGTATATGTATCATGATTTTTATTCAAGTCAAAGTCACATGATGGAATACCTCAAATTATATATCAGTGTTTATCCCCAAATACTCACATACAGTAGTCGGTGCGTAAGATTTGAGATAATGCTAATTGGGAACGTCATATTGGCTAAAACATTGCGAAGTAAGGACCCAACATTATTTCGTGGGGGAGGATATTGTTGGAGAGTCCATGATGCAAATTCTAAATATCAATGGTTTCACTACAAAGCCGACATGCTGATTGTATACAATTCTAGAACCCAGGTGAGTCTGTTCCAATTTCCGTTGTTAATTCTAATACTAATGAGTGCATTCTAGATAATACAGAGTGTACATTCAATACACCATCGGACAGATACACTTACACTTCAATTCGAGCTGTGGCGGATGTGATGTTTAAATAAATCAATGACTTCTTGGTATTGATGACTGTTGTAATTTTGAATTCCAAGTACAATACATTCCTTCGAGTTCATCTGATACTTCTTGATTAAATTGCGTTATTCCTGGGATTACTAGTTCATACTACAATTCAAATACTTCTAATTATCATAGAAGGGTATAGTGTAGGATATTTCTTTACCATAGTAGGCGGAAAAATGGAGATTTATATTAGTTACAGATAAGGTAATATAACGAGTGGTGAAATAATATTGATGGCAAGGCGACATAGTGTACAGATGAGTAAAAAACTGATAAATAGACAAGAAGTAACTCACACTAAATTCGCGCTAATGATAGGAAAGCTAAGAATATATTTCAGGAACAACTAGAAAAACAGTTAGTCAGCCATGTAGGTTGTGCCCATCCCGAGGCAGCGTGAAATGAAATCCGAGCTGTGGAAACAGCAGTGATATCTGCTAGTACGGTAAACCATAAGGTTAGGGAGAAACACTGGATCTCAGCAGCATCTACCGCACTGATATATGCTCGAGAACTCAACCCATCTGGCTCTGAACATAACGAAGAGCGGAGTCAGCTTAAGCACAGGCTAATAAAAAGCCTACACAACGATCGCGAACAGTGGTAGGTAGCGAAAGCAAGAGAGATGGAAAAGGCAGCGGCAATAGGTAACAGCAGACAACTGTTCAGACTTGTTAAAGGAACCGGTATTGGGAACCCAGCTTTTAGCGAAACTATTTCGGAAAAGGATGGACATATCATTCATTCTCAATAAAAGAGATTTGATCGATGGGCAGAACACTTTAGGGATCTGTTCAACTGGCCTTCAGCCACATTCCGGTTTCCCACGATCTCCAGTCATCCTGAATGGCAAATTGATGTAAGTCCTCCAACTCTCTACGAGGTTGAAAAAGCTATAGGAAATCTGAAGAGAGGGTGAGCAGCAGACCCTGACAGGTTTACCCTTGAGATTTTTAAAGATGGCAGTCCAGTAATGGCGAGCGAGATCGACTGAGGTCTTAGAATCTGGGATCTGGACGTAATTTCATCTGACTGGTCTCAATCACTGATTGTGCCAGTCTATAAGAAGGGGCAAAAGTCCTCTTGTGACAATCACAGAGTGATCAGTTTGACTAATATAGTGTCTAAAATATTAGCTTCAATAATACTTAGGCGCCTAACCAAAGCTTGTAAAGAGCAGACTAGAGAAAACCAAGCTGATTTCCGACCTGGACGTGGTTGTATAGACCAGATATTCACACTATGTCAGGTCCTAGGACATAGACACATATTCAGACGTCCCTTAATCGTATTATTCCTCGACCTTAAGGCGGCATCCGACTCCGTTGATCGTGAGGTTCTATGGCAGTGTTTGTCACTGAAAGAAGTACCAAAGTACATCAACCCCATAAAGGCTCCCTACTCGAACACAACTGGTCGAGTTAGAGCCTATGGCGAACTGTCATCAGAATTGATTACATCAAGTGGTTTTCGTCAGAGCCATCCACTCTCTCCATTCTTGTTTAAATTTATCGTGCTTTTAGAAATAACACTTTCATCATCTTAATCTCCAGGAGTTGAACTTTTACCAGGAGGCTCACTTGTTGACTTAGAATACGCCGACGACATAGTTTTACTCGGTGAAGACGCTGACAACATGCAGAGTCTTCTGACCACTATAAGCAACTATGCAGGCATGTTCGGAATGCGATTCTCTCCCTCGAAGTGCAAAATGTTACTTCAGGATTGGGTTGCATCGACACCTGAACTAATGATAGGGAGTGAAGTAGTTGAGCGTGTAGACCACTTCACTTATCTTGGGAGTCTCATCAGCCCTTGTGGTCTGGTGTGTGACAAAATCTCAGCACAGATACAGAAGATTCGTCTAGTTTTTGCCAACTTGAGTCATTTATTGTGTAGGCGAGATATCCACCTAACAACAAAAGGATGGGTTTACTGTGCACCAGTTCGTTCTATCCTACGTTATGGCCGTGAAACATGGCCGATAAGAGTAGAGGATATTCGTAGGCTACTAGTATTCGGTCATAGGTGTCTTCGACGCATTGCTCGTATATCCTGAGACCACCGGGTAAGTAATGCAGTTGTTAGGAAACGGGTACTAGGTAAGGATGGCAAAACGATTGATGAAGTAGTGAAACTTCATCAGTTGAGATGGCTGGGACATGTGTTACGTATGCCCAACCAACGGCTACCCAGACGTACAATGTTCTATGGTGTAGGAGTAGGTTGGAAGAAAGCTATCGGCGGCCAGGTTAGAACATGGCATAAATCCATTAAGTCGCTGACAATGTGACTGAGCTATGTTGGTAGGTGTAGACTACCTGATTGAGATTCTCGAGAAGATAGCAATCGATGGTTAAAGACCTTGAATGACATGGCTGAAAATCGTTTGCAATGGCGAAGGTACATCCACTCTTTCTGTTCTGCCGAATTCTAACCTTCTTAATTCTGTATGCCGCCTTTATTTTTTATTTTTCCAAATATATTTCACTGAATTATACTGTTTGAATAACATCCTCAAACCTTAATCTTTCACATAATGCCTATACTCCTACTACCTCTACCATTTTGGGTTTTGTATCGACGACTGCATCTCTGTGCTTATGGGGCATGGTAACTCGAACTGATCTACGTACGTACGAAGTTATACGTTGTGACTGACTGACTTTCGATACCACAAGATCGACAACAAATATATCTTATTTCAACCGTCAACAGCCCTATGGTATTTAGTTTGCCGAGGGATCCAACTTGGTACGTGGCACGTAATCTTTTTGTAATGGTGATCATAGTCCATCGCAATTCGACGCTATCTACAATACATCAAGCCTAGTAGTTGAAGCTTTATTGACTTCCATCCTATAACAGTAAATAAATCTGTGAAATTTAAAGTTCTGTAAGTCGTCAACACTTGATGCTGATTGTGTTAGTTTTACTGGACTCACCCAGCTGAAGGTTCTCGATCACGCATTCACACCAGACCACGAATAGGTACACCGTGCTACACGTCCCTTTCAACTGTTAACCAGGTTAGACCAAACATTTCTCAACATATCGACACTCTTTCAAACATATCTTCCTACACACTCATTCCTGACTTTTGATTTGCCTGAGTTGGCATACCTCCGATATAAAGGCGCTATGTGTAAAGGAGTTGTCAAACAATAAACTGTGATTCTGTTCCCTGCTAAACAATATGCATCATTTCTTAAGTTTTATCTTTACATATGGTGATATTGTTCTAATATTTTCGTATAGTTTTCCTGTCCATTTGTATATTTCATGTTCGTTATAATGGGACAGATATCTAAGCTATCGAAGATTAAAACTCTTTTGCCTCCCACTCTCCAACTCATGCCATTCTGACCCGACAAGATCGAAGCCTGGTTCTGCTACTCAGAAGCTGACTTTCACGAGTAAGGCATAACAGACAAACGTGCACAACTCTTCGCAGTGGTGAAGGCATTACCTCGAAATTTCGACAGTTACCTCACACCTTGTATATTTACCAGTGTTGTTTTGGAACTTTACAACACTTTGAAGAAGACCATTCATAAACCTGAAGACCTGACCGACCAACAAAGGTTAGACTAACTCTTCCACAACATCGAGCTGTAATACGGCTCAGCAACAGAAAAGTTGCTACGAAAGCGAGTGGTAATTGGTCAAAGAACATTTGATGATGGTCTGTTTGGACAGCCGTTGTTGTCTGAGCTCCCCATCAACAGGGACAGATGGTCCTTGTTTCATTCCGAAATGACGCTGTATAAGAACTGTTTGCATTTGTCGATCAGACTCTGGAGATTACCAGAACCTCCAATGTCGAGGTTAATTTCTGTCAAAGAAATGCCTCAAGCAATACAAAACGACTTCATATACCTCTCTCAGACTCTCAATACTCATCCTTTTCACAAATCTCATCTGACCTCTTCTTTACCAGTCATGAGTCGCTTTTGTCACTCTCTGTGGTATATCTAGAACTCCTTGACGACAGCCAACTTCGTACTGCAAGCTTATACATCAACTTCAGACGTACTTAGCTTCAAGGGCCTTCTATGATAGTCAGAGTTTGTTTAATTTGATAAACTATTACGGGAGTAAGGCAAAACAAACAATCAATGTATGTATTGTAAGTGGTATTTATACTGAGTTTAGCCAGAAAAAACTTTAAAGGATTATTTAAATAGTCACATTAAACTGCTTTCAAAATGTTAGAAAGCTCATTAAATGGTATGAATGCAGATTATAATAATACTGAACAGCCTTCAAACCGGAAAATTTCTCCGTAACTCTGGAACAATTATATTTTACTGTTGATTAAAACGTCTTCGTGACTTGAGAAGAAGTGGTAAAGACGTTGCCCTGACTAGTGCAAGTACAGGGAGTTAACGAGATAGAAAAATTGCCAGACAACGACAAGGTCATTGTAATGTTCGCTGTTTTGGGATTATAACATATATGTATTCACTTGTCTTTCTTATATTTTCATCATAATACTCACCAATATTTATTTATTTATTTATTTGGATTTGTGTGTTTTCACGAGGTAAATAGAGTACATAAAAGATATTACATTTTTTCTCTCGTTATTCTGTCGCTACACTAACATTGTAACTGTCGGGTCGAATAAAGCTAACATTAGACATGTAATAAATAAAACAATGTTGGAAATCAACTAAAATATTTTATGTTTCCCTTTTGATTTTGTAATATCAACTGAATCATGAAGTAAACACCACATTGTAAACCTTAAGGCAAGAAAAATAGATGGAGGGCGGGACTTGTAAACAGACACCAGAAATTAGGATAGCAACTACAATAGGTTACTCTGGACAGTGTTTGATGAAGGATACTGGTGGGCTTCTTTCTTATCTCCTGCATAGGCCAAAATGTGTAGGCATGTGAGGAAACTTAGACAATCGACCTTCTTTGACATGTGTTAGTCGTCTCTTTTCATTGGTCCTGTGAATGATTTGGATTTGACATACAGGTATTATGTTAGTCCTATGGATTCATCTAGTTAACTAGAAGATAAGAAGATCTCATGAATAG